ACCCTTTTATATGCCAGTGTCATACTTGCAATGGCCCATTTCCAAATAGGCTTGGGAAGACTACTGCAGGAGCTAAATACCTACTTAATTCTTTAAACATTAACAAAAACAAATTTAAATTGATACTATTTAGCAAAAAGAGAGAGAGAGAGAGAGAGAGAGAGAGAGAGAGTGAAATATAACTGGCAGATAAATGGGGAGCCTATTGAATAAATGAATTTTTTACCTAGTTAGGAGAGGTTTTACCAAAACTGGGTTGCGATTAAATCATTTTAAAAGTAGCTTGGTGAGGGCCGAGGTCACTACCCTGTTTCCCCAAAAATATTGCAACACAGCAGCAGCCATGAGGCGACCACACTTGCCTCCTCCTGCACCTCACAAATAATAAGACCTCCCCAAAAATAAGACCAAGTACTTATTTCGGTGGGGGAGGGGTCAAAAGAAAATAAGTCCCTATCTTGTTTTTGGGGAAACACAGTATTAAAAGAGTGTGCAATTACAATTACCCAGGTACTTTGATCCTTATATTGAAAGTATTCAGGGCAGAAATAGTCCCCAAACTCCCTGTGGGCAAGAATTGTGGGGGGGCTGAATAAAGCTGCCCCACTTGAACAAATATAGTCCATTTTTAAAATGTAGCCTGAGAATGGATAAGAACACATCTGCCTTTGCGATCAGAGCAGAAAAAAATATATTAATTCCTTACATAGCACTCTAATAACTAAAATTGTCACATACTTGAGAGGCAGAGGATCCATTCAAATAGTCTTCCCAAAATAGCCTAACCGGACAGGTGAGTGTGGCCCAGTTTTCTACCCAGCATCCACTCACTCAATAGGCCTCACAGGCAAGGGACATTTTTAAGCCAAGAGTCTTGGTCATCAAACTGACATGGAATTCCTGGCTGAAAAGAGATCCCTACATTGGTTGGTCACGAATAAAAGGGTTTTTTAAAATTATTATTCAGAACAATACTTGCCATTGAATCTGACAGAGTCTTTAAGAAGAGTCTATTGAAGAACAAGATTTGAGTTACTGGACTTCACAGCCAAAAATGGGGCACTTTTCCGTGTCACATTTTGAGAGAACCTGTACGTATATCCAGGCGCTGAAAGTATTTCTCATATTTTGTTTGACTGTCAATTGTTTGCCCCAATAAGGCTTAAATACTTAGCATCCTTTTGGAAAGAACAGCTCCATGGAATTTGAACCACAGATTGTCATATTTCCTCCTGGACTCAAATGTGTATATTGGACATAGAACTGCTAAGTTTGTAACTGTCAGTCATCCTGTACATTGAACAAATTGGGGTACCCTGCAAAGGCAGATTAATTTATCTGATTACTGTCTGTCTTTAGTAACACACTTGTATTTTATCACTTTAACTCCTTCTTTCTTATTTCAAAATCATTTCAAACTGTCTTTTATTTTATTGATAAGGCCACAAGAGCAACCAGTCCATAAATGGCTATTCCTCCTATAGTACAAGGAAGGAAGTCCTGACTAAGTATGGGGAGGGATGGCTTGACTGTACAAGTTGCCAGTCAGCAGAAGAAGGTCTCATGTCGTCCATGGATGGTCCTTTGCAGGCCTTCATGCAGAAACTGGGGGGGTCATCAGTGACACAAAAGGTTTACCTAGGGGAGTTCCCAACTCTATTGTGGGAAGCCACCACCACCCGCTTCCTAGAAGAATGAAATACTTTGAGGAATATTTTAAAAAGGCAGGATAAAATATTTCCCCTAAAAGAAAAATTCTTAAGGGAGACAGAAACTCATATATTTGGTGCCCTTTGAGAAGGACTGGGCCAGCCTATGTACAAAACAAAAGACCTTCAGCTCCAGGGTGAAGGGATTAAGACATGACTCTTCAAGACATCATAGGATTAACCCATTAAAAGACAGAGCTCACTGCATTGCACAATCTCCTAAGGACATTGCATCACCCTCAGAAACTTTAACCAAACCTGGGAGTTCAGACAACCTACAGAGCCAGCTATGACCCCTACATGGCCCCATGGGAGTCTGACAACAGCCAATAGAATACATGTTTTTGCACAGGAAGAGGACGTTCAAGTGCAAAGCCCAAGAGATGGTATAAAAACCACCCACTCTCAACTCCATGTGGTCAGCTGCACCAGAACAATGTGCTTGGTGGTTCTGCTTCATCATTAAACCATGTTTCCAGTCAGCCTCCAGCCTCCATTTTGTCCAGTGCCTTTCTCCCAGCCTGGAATTGAACCAGATGGATATTTCTTCCAACACTATGATACTGCGGTTCCTCAAACATTTGTATTGTGAGAAGACAATTAGGCAAATGCAACCTTCTATGTCTGCCTAGAAATCCTCCACTTCAGGGCTCCAGTTGCAGATGCCCAAATGCCCGTTGCCCGCCCCCACCCCTCAAAGCAAAGCAAAGTCCTTGTGATGAGAAGCTGTGGAGGAAGGAAGGAATTTTGCCCAGTCCTTGAATCTGAAGCTGCCTATAAGCGTAAGACAAAGGCAGGCTTTCTTCCCCACTGAAGGAGGAGAGCAGGGTTGAAACAGGCCCAGGGCTCTGCTGAAGTCCACACTGAGCAGCTTCTGTCTTCGCCTTTGAGCTGACCGTTGGACATTCCAGCAATATATTTCATACATCATCTGCATCCTGTTAACGTCTTTCCTTAAGAGGAATCTGGATTGTGCAAGAACAAATCCATCCAGCTGCTCATGTAATTAATAAAAAAGGCCACTCAAGCCATGTCTGTCTGCAAATAAATGATAGAGTGTCCTTACTAGCTGGCGGGCAGAATCAGTCCAGTTGGAAGTGGAAATTTCCAGAGCAAAGTTTCTGGCAGATTGAGTATGAACATTGTTCTGCTGTTATAGATGCACTCAATATCTGGAAGGATGGAGGTGAAAGAGAGACCATGAGAAGGTGGAGAATGTATCCGAAGAGGCAAGAACATCAACTAAAGTCCTTAGTATGACTGCTAAACAC